TTATTCTCATTTTTTACTGTGAGCACACTGGCCCACCATAAAAATGAAATTCTATTGCCTGCTTCAAAAGAAAGTATATATCTACCCATACACATACATAACACACATATACACTTGCATTGTATTGTATTGTATTATATTAGTGTATATGTGTGTTATGTATGTGTATGGGTAGATATATACTTTCTTTTGAGAACAGGCAACAGAATTTCATTTTTAAGGTGGGCCAGTGTGCTCACAGTAAAAAATGATAATATATATAACTTACATTATATTACACACACACACACACAATAATAATAATAATAATAATAATAATAATAATAATAATAATAATAATAATAATAATAAAGTTGGAAGGGACCTTGGAGGTCATCTAGTCCAACCCCCTGCTCAGGCAAGAAACCTATATATACACACACACACATATAAATATTAATCACTGTCCATTTTTAATACATAGTGGAAAGACGATACTTGAGAGTTCACAAGTTTGATGCTATCTTGTACTAAACTGTGCAGTATTCCTGTAAACTATACATGTGATTGAAGGAAAAATATTTAAAATGGAAATCCTTGGAATAAAACACAAACATATATGTTTTTGCTAAATATTCAGACAAGTCATACCTCAATGAAACTTCTTGCTCAATTATGTAAGCTTGATAACTAAAGATGATAATGGCTTAAGAGGAAATAAACACATTTTTACGAAATACAAAAAATAAAAATAAACCCTCAGAGCAGAATATATTTTCAACAATTTTTAACTTTGCTTCTGTGTTTGGTTTAAAAAACTATATTTATTCCACCTGGGAGATAAAAAAAGAAAAACACACAAAGCAGTATGCTCATATGGGAATAAATCTACAGAATTTAAGAACATAAACAATTAGTTCAATTAATTAATACTACTTAAGCATAGTTTTAAAAGGCAACTCCATTTTTCTAAGAGACTTGAAAAAATCACTTCCCTATTGACCATCAAACTTAGAAATTATATTATGGAATCTGGTTAGGGTTGAACCTTCAATACAATCAAGGAATAGATAGATAGATGATAGATAATAGATAATAGATAGATAATTGATTGCCTCCAGAGCCTAGAGGATTATATGTCCTGATATCCTTCATCATAATGGTTTCTGGATACTCAGAATATTGAAGAAAACTACATGTAACATCCTGCTGTCTAATCTGAGTTTATTTTCTACCATGCATAATGTTGTCCTCATCTGATATCAACTGATGATTTCCATAGCATCATCAGCCCAGCTCAGGGTGGCCACATATTATTAAGTATTATAAGGAGAGTGATGACATTATTCCTCAAACCAACAGCTGACTTCACCCTGCATTTTCCAAATTTTCTCTGGGGTTTCCCCCAAAAATCCTTTATTCCAGACAAGGAGATATATAGTTGTCCATGGCATGTAGAACCATATATTATAACATCATTCATATTTATTCTAATGTGAATTTTATCAGTTTTATTTGTTTTTTTGTTTTATAGATGTGAGTTTTGTAAAATGTTCCACTACCTATAGTAAATTATTTATTTATATTTATATCACAATATTTTCTTATTGTCTCACTTGGATCTATAGTGATATCTAAATTGAAAAAGGCACAATGCAATTGTTATAATTTTAAAATAAATATTATCCAACAATTTAAAGGAACTCAGACTGTATGATGTGTAATGTTTTGCCCTGTATAGAGAGTTCATTTTGGGGTTCCATAGATTTAAATGAAAACAAAAGGAGAAAAGAATGACATTACTACAGGTGTACACTATAAGCCATCCAAAAAGCAGAAAAAATAGATGAACGTTTTGTTAAACAACTAAAAAATGTACATAAGATATATATTACAGTAGTAATGGCAGACTTTAACTATCCTGATATCAACTGGGAGACAAACTCTGCAGCAAGTGGGAGATCAAACAGATTCATAACCAACCTAGCTGACAACTTTGTCATCCAAAAAGTAGAGGAGAGAACTAGAAGAAAAGCTATACTATACCTAATTCTTACTAATAGAGAAGAAGTGATAGAGGGAATTAAAATTGCCAGAACTTTGGATGAAAGTGACCATGCCATATTGGAATCCAATATAATGCAAACATAAGCAATGGAACATAATCCACCCAGTGTCTTAAACTTTAGAAGAGCTGGTTTTAATGAACTCAGAGACAGTCTAAGAAAAATTCCATGGATGAAAATCCTAAAGGGAAAAACAACTCAAGAAGCATGGGAAACTCTGAAAAATATGATCATAAAAGCCCAATCCAGCACAATACCAATGAAAAAGAAAATAAAGAAATCCAGGAAGAAACCAGCATGGTTGCACAAAGATTTCTCTGATAAACTGAAAGACAAAAAGGACACGTACAAAAAATGGAAAGAGGGACACTAAATAAGGCATATAGCCTGAATCTACAAAGATGAAGTTAGAAAAAACTAAGGCTCAGAATAAACAAATGCTTGCAACAAAAGTCAAAGATAATAAAAAAAGTTTCTTTCAATATATAAATAACAAGAAAAAAGACAAGGAAAAAGTAGGTCCACTTAAAAGAGATGGCAAGGAAGTGACAGGCAGTAGAGAGAAAGAAGAACTGCTTAACTCATTCTTTGCATCACTCTTTATACAAAAAGAAACCTACCAAAAACCTAACTATATAAGACAGACTAAAAATAAAAATAAGCAATAACCTTTATGACCTTTATGAATATAAATCACTGAGACCTGATGGTTTACATCCCAGAGTTCTGAAGGAGCTGACATATATTATCTCAGAACCGCTGAACCATATATTTAAAAAATCCTGAAATACTGAGGAATTACATGATGATTGGAAAAGAGCTGATGTGGTTCCCATCTTCAAAAAGGGGGAAAATAACAGACTCAGGAAACTACAGACCAATCAGCCTAACATCAATGCCAAGGAAGATACTGGAAAAAATAATCAAAAAACAGATCTATGGACATCTAGAAACAAATAAAGTTATAACTGAAAGCCAGCATGGGTTTGTTAAAAACAGATCATGCCAACCAATCTTATTTAATTCTTTGACAAATTAGTAGACCAGTGAAATTCTCTAGACATAGTATACTTAGACTTCAATATGGCATTCAACATAGTAGACCACAACCTACTTCTTGATAAGCTAGAAAAATGTGGGATAGATAGCATCACCTTCAGATGGCTTTATAACTGACTGACAAACTCTACTCAACGAGTCATCCTTAATGAAACTACACTACATGGAGGGAAGTAAGCAGTCGGGTGCCACAGAGTTCTGTCTTAGGCCCAGTACTCTTCAATATTTTCATAAATGACTTAGACAGGGCTTTTTTTCTCGGAGAAAAGGTGGCGGAACTCAAACCTGGCCACGCCCTCATCAAACCCTAGGACCGCCCCTTTAGAGAACAGGAATGCAAGTAAAATTTGGGAGGGGCTATTTCCGGTGTGGGAGGGGATATTTCCGGTGCGGCCGGCCCGGAAAAAGGTGCCGGAACGCGGTTCCGCCGCGTTCCGGCTGAAAAAAAGCCCTGGACTTAGATGAGGGAATAGAAAGGGAACTCATCAAATTTGACACTAAACTGGCAGTAATAGCCAATACCCCAGAAGACAAGTTCAGAATCCAATTTTTTTTGACATACTTGAACAATGGGCTTATCCAACAACATGAAATTTAATATGAGAAAAGCGAAAGGTTTTACACTTAGGCAGGAAAAAACAAAGGTACAAGTGTAGATTGGTCAAAATCTGGTTCAAAAACAGTAACTGTGAGAAGAACCTTAGAGTCTAGTGGATGATCACTTAAACATGATTCAGTAGTGTGCAGCAGCAGACAAAAAAGCTAATACAATCCTTGGTTGTATAAAGAGAAGTATAGAATCAAAATCACATTAAGTATTCATACCGCTTTATAATGCCTTAGTAAGATCACATCTGGAATACTGCATTCAGTTTCAGTCACCACATTACAAAAAGCATGTTGAGACTTTGGAAAAAGTGTAAAAAAGAGCAACTAAGATGATTAAAGGCCTGGAGACTAAAAATATAATGAAGAATGGTTGCAGGATTTGGATTTGGCTAATCTAGAGAAAAGAAGGACTAGGGATATTGATAGCAGTATTCCAGTATTTGAGAGGTTGCCACAAAGAGGAGGGAGTCAACTTATTTAGCAAAACACCTGTAGGTAGGACAAGAAACAATGGATGGAACAGTGAAACCACTTGCCATCAGAAGTTGTAGGTGCTTCAACACAGGAGGTTTTTAAGAAGACACTGGATAGTCATTTGTCTGAAATGGTATAGGATCTCCTGCTTCAGCAGGGCGCTGGACTAGAAGACCTCCAAGATCCCTTCCATCTCTATTTTGATTAGATCAAAAATAGCCACAAACAATTAAAGACAGCCATTGGTAAATGGGGCTTAAAATTTCATCTCAATTGTGTCTTTAATGGTATCTTTGATTTTTTTTCCAAAGTAACCTGAGGATATCCATAAAACTTCAGTATAAATAATATATTTTATTACATGTAGAAGAGCATATTTGCGCACTTCAAATTTAATGAAAGGAAAGAATGATAGTGTTCCTGAATTTAGATTTAGCATGATGAAGTAGGAAATATTTTACTTTGATATAAGAATTAAACATCCCATTTTAAAATGAGAGTAAACAGAAGATATTTCTCTGTTATATACTAGGTAACATTTTCATAAAAGTCATGCCTGTGTGATTCTCATAAATTTCAACATAAACTAGAATAATTAACAGAATGCACAACAAAAATAGTTAAATATCTGCCTAAATGACCAATAAAATATTTATCAAATTAAATGTGTCTCCCTAACATACCATAAAACATAATAATCTTGTATTAAATCTCTTACAATTTTGTTCACATATCTGAAATAGGAGAATTCAAAAATTCATTTCCAGACATACATTATATATAGACATATACACAGAGATATCATCATTCTTTTCACCAGAAAGTGAATATCTTTCTGCCAAAAATCATTTTCATCATCATTTTAACTTCCTGGTTTCTCAGAGTATAAATAAAGGGGTTTAAAATTGGGATAAATGCACTATAAATGAGTGTTATGATCATGTCTTGTTGAGATGAGGTACCCACACTGGGAAGCATGTAGTTAAATAACACAGGAATATAGACTAAAATTACTACAATTATGTGGGATCCACAAGTAGAGAAGGCTTTTTGCCGGCCAACCTGAGATGTCATTTTAAAGAGAAGGTAAGTAATAATATAAAGGTACGAGAAGAGTATGAAGATAAAAGGTAATATGGCAATACAGCTGGTAATGATACTAAGGAGCATGAGATTGAAGTGTATGCTTCCACAGGCCAGTTTTAATAATGGTTTGATGTCACAGATAAAGTGCTCAATTATATTTGGTCCACAGAAAGGAAGGCGAGCAGTCATGATTGCATGCATCAAGGCATGGAAAAAGGCCATAGACCAGGCAGCTATTGCCATTAAGATACAGACATTTTTTCTCATGATGAGAGTATAGCGCAAAGGGTTGCATATTGCAACATAGCGATCATAGGCCATGATTCCAAGAAGTATGCCTTCAGTTCCACCCATGAAGTAGAAGAAGAAGAGCTGGATCATGCAGCCATTGAAGGAGATGGTTTGTAGCTCTACTAGAAATCCTTGTAGCATCTTTGGAACAGTTACTGTGGAATAGATGATGTCAAGGCAGGAAAGATTTCCAAGGAAAAAATACATGGGTTTGTGAAGGCGAGGTTCAGTTAAAACTACAATCACAATAGTACCATTGCCTACTAATGTGGTCATATACAACAGAAGAAAAATTCCAAAAATTCCATACTGAAGTTCCAAATCACTCTTTAGTCCCAGCAGGATGAATTGTTCCACCTTAGTTTGGTTCTCCATAACTAAAAAGGAAGCAGAAATTTGTAAATGTGGATAGAAATAATAAATAAGTGTTAATTAGTGTTTTTCCAGTTTCTTATGATCACAAAGAAGTATATCAAGCTTGGCAACATAAATAATGAATATATAACAAGCTACTTATCTGAAACAAAACTCACTTCTCTCTATGGTAAAAATTGAGATGAGGCGTTAAGTATTTAGATAAATGATGTAACATAAATAGTTAAAGCTCTACAATGACAAAACCCATGCATGCATTATCAAACCTTATTAGTAAGAAATAAATTGGTCATATAATGTTCTTTGTCATATCTGACAAAGAAGGATGCTACTTTAAATTCTATGCCTTGAGTCTAAAAGATGGACTTCTACAGTATTTCATATGGAAAACCCAATCCCATAATTCTTCCAATCAAGTTTGTGGAATTTTATTTAATCTGAGACATGTTTCAATTTGCCCATCATAGAACTATCATATAAACACTTCATAAACACTTTCTACTTGCACATTGCCTATGAGATAACTTTTATTATTTTCATTTTCTAGAAAATATAGATGCAAGTGAACTTTGAAATCACTAATGTCAATTTCAAAGAAATACACTTGCTAGTACATAGATTTTAAAAAAAAGGTTCTTTCATCAGACCAGAGGATTCCAAAGCAGTAAGGAACCTGCACATATATAATATTCTAATTTTGACCCTTTCACAATATTGTTTTTGCTCCTGTTTAATTAATTTTTTTAAGTAGTGTTTTAATATTTTTATTACACACTGCCCAGAATCAATTTGTGTGATATGGCCAGCCATGTGAACATGTGATATACATACAAACATGCATACATACTGTAAGAGAAATTAATCATCAACTAAAGATAATTAGTTAATCTTATTTAACATCCATCTTGCTTTATTAAAGGGTGGTCATTGATAACCTATTATTATTTCATGTTTCTTAGAGCTTATTCTTGATGACTTCTTGATTCCTAGGTTGTACTACCAACAATTACATATGCAGACAATTTCCTAACCATGCAACAGTAGCATAAAGGAAAATCATTATTGCACCTATGTGCTCCCTATTTCTTCAATGCTGGTCCATGCAGTTGTAATCTATCACAGATCTGACATTATTTACAAAATGTGAAATAATATTCATTCATAAACATTGAGTTCATACAACATAGGTAGCATTAGTGTAGAATGAATATAGCTCTGGATTGAGTTTTCTCTAAGCTCATTCTTCTTGCAAATATTTTATTAAAAGTCTGGGTACTATTATCAGTGCCTTGACATGGATAGGGAGGGCGGTTGCCTATTTATATGAAGCTGCTTTTACAAATATCCTTTTATGGATTTGGGCAGGATGTGTTGATTGGGGTATTTCTTTTTTGATTGCCAGGCCATTATCTGGTGCTTATTGTGATGATTAGAATCTAGTTCCTGCTTATCTCAATGCAGGGAATACCCATATCATTTTACAAAATTATATCTATCCACTTAACCAATTATAGCATAACTGGTACAATTCATACACATTAACAGCAACAGAGAGCCACTTTGGTGAGGTGGTTAAAACACCAGGCTAGAAACTGGGAAACCATAGGTTCTAGCCCCACTTTAGATATAAAACCAGTTGGGTGGTCTTGGGTCAGTCACTCTCTCTCACTCCTAGGAAGGAAGCAATGGCAAATCACTTTTGAAAAAAAATTGCCAAGAAAACAGCAGGGGCTTGTCCAGGTAGTCACCAGAAATCAAAAACTGATTAGAAGGCATCAAACTTCAACCTACATTAAACACATGTCAGAAGCCACCAACAGGATACTAACCTCAGCAGTGTTTTGACATTGAGAAATGAGTTTGTTTTTTTATGTAGAGTAGATGTTCTATCAGATTTTTTTGGAATGTGTTAATTTCTTCTTCTTTGATTAGCATGCTATTGCCTGCTGTTATACAAATAGACCTTATCAGAGCAAAAAAACTTACAAAGAGAAACAACTGTGGATTAGAGGAAGATAATAAATTAATGTAATTTACCCCCCATCTTATTTTATTAAATAAACTCCTCTCTTTTATAATAGATAGTGTGCAACTTACTTGGTTGCTTTTAACACTGAGAACTTATTGTTGCTCACTTTGTTGTCCCTAAGATGTGCTAGCAACAATTAAAACTGCAAACAATTCAGCAGTAGCAGAAATTGTGATATTTAATAATAGACTAGGAAAGTAATAAAATATTTGATATAAACTATTTTAGCTTTCTAAGCAAAGTTATAGAACTAATACCCAATTATATGTAGTCATCTCTTTTATCCATCAAACTTCAATTATTTCACAACAGCTCATAAAGAGCAATTGAAGATCATTCTGAATTCATAAAATTCAATATTCTATTATTAATGTCTTATTAATTATTGTCTTATTATTGTCTTATTAATGCCTGCAGTGATGTCCTAGAAATGACTTATATGAGTCACAAGAGAATATTGTTATTTTTTTTAGGAATTTTTCAAGCTTGAGAATATTGCTAAATTGTAATTCTAGCATGCTAGGATGCTTTTTGTGCAGCATGGTAAGAGGACTGGTTGCTATACATTTATCAGCACAATACTGGCTAAAAATATTGGCATATATGTTGTACAGGAAGATCATGATCAAGAAATTTCCAATTTTAAAAATGTTACATGTTAATGCAAACTATATCAAAAAGAATTCTTCATTTAATCTAGTTTAAAGGTGCAAAATCAGATTTTATTCTGAAAAGATTGCAGATTTTCAATAAAATGGCACCAATTAGATAACCTTAGCAATATGCATTTTATATGATGCATATATATACATACATACACACACAGAGAGAGACACAAACACACACACATACACACACACACACACACACAGAGAGAGAGAGAGAGAGAGAGAGAGAGAGAGAGAGAGAGGAGAGAGAGAGAGAGAGAGAGATTAATATGAAAAGACAATCGTGAAAGTAGTTTATTATTTCTTCCTGAAGGGAAACCTCTATCTCTGTTGTCTTGCACAAAGGCTGAGAAGGATTTTTCTTCCATCACATACATCTGAAATTCTACTCTGAATCAATAATATAAAATATATACCATACAGTTACTGTACATACATACATACATACATACATACATACATATGTGCATGCGTGTGTGTGTGCGCGCGCGTTTGTGTAGGGGTTCTGGTTTCTTAGGTCTGTTTTTCTTTTGTAATATTAGTAACAGCTTTGATCACTCAAAAAAAAAAAAAAAAAGCGAAGCCGGAACATGTTATATTAAATTGAATAAACAGAATAAGTACAATTATTTAATTACTTAAGAATATGTTTAAATTATTTCATCATGTTTACAAGTAACCCCAGTTGGATTTATCCATTGTTAAGATACTTCAGAAAGGGATACTTACACATCTCCATGATGGAAAGAAAAAAATACAACACATAAATCCTGATAACACACCCACATCAAATATCTATTTTTTTAAGATATTCAGCTAGTTCATACCTTTAGAAAATTTCTTGCCCAGTCAAGAATGAAATTTGAAGATAGAAATTTGAATAGTGTATACTTTAAGAAGCAGGAGATAAACTATGACAGTTTATTTCTTAAATGTATTTAGTTGGATTGTAAGAATAAACTGTCTTACTAGAATGTATTCCAGTGATTTTTTTGTGTTCATCATGTTTATGAAATATTCTTAGCTGCCACTGGAGAAAAGAAGGTGCAATCCACAGAGTAGCATGCTCCTGTGTGAGTAAATATTTTGAATTTGAAAATGTAAACTATTTGTCCCATCAATAAGTATCTATGGTTAATTACCCAAGGCACTGGAACAGTACCACAATGCTCTTCCTGACTGATAATCAAAACAATCTGCTATGATAATAGGCCAAACCAATATAAATAAGAATTGTGAGGGAGGGGTTGTACATGAAAGCAATTTGGTAAAATATACCTATATTTAAAAAGTACATTATTCATTTAGATTACAAAACTATATTTGGCCAAGTGTGATTAGACTCCCAAGGAATTTGTTTCCAGTACATAAGCTCTTGGTGTACATGCAAAAAAACAAAGGAACAATAATAATAATAATAATAATAATAATAATAATAATAATAATAATAATAATAATAACAACAACAACAAAGTAATAATAATCATAATAATGATACCAATAAGAGAAGGTAGAGAAACATATGAGAAAGATAATAATAGTACAGCCATATTTAATATACTTAACTATAAGACAGTATTGTGGGAGTTAGATGTTCACCAGAGAGAGAGAAAGACAGACAGACAGAGAGAGAGGGAGGGAGAGAGGGAGGGAGAGAGAGAGAGAGAGAGAGAGAGAGAGAGAGAGAGAGAGAGAGAGAGAGAGAGAGAGAGAGAGAGAGAGAGAGAGAGAGAGAGAGAGAGAGAGAGAGAGAGAGAGAGAGAGAGAGAGAGAGAGAGAGAGAGAGAGAGAGAGAGAGAGAGAGAGATCATCTTCTTTTACCAAAAAGTGAATATTTTTCTGCCAAAAATCACTTTCAATGTCATTTTAACTTCCTTGTTTCTCAGGGTATAAATAAATGGGTTCAGTACTGGAGTAACTGCACTATATATGAGTGTTATTGCCATGTCTTGCTGAGAGGAGGTACCCACACTGGGAAGCATGTAGTTGAACAACACAGGAATATAGACTAAAGCCACTACAGTTAGATGGGATCCACAGGTGGAGAAGGCTTTTTGCCAACCACTTTTGGATTGCACTTTAAAGAGAAGGTAAGTAATAATATAAAAGTAGGAGAAGAGTATGAAGATAAAAGGACTCATAACAACACAGCTGGTTACAATACTGAGGAGCATGAGATTGAGGTGTATGCTTCCACAGGCCAGTTTTAATAAAGGCTTGATGTCACAGATAAAGTGCTCAATTATATTTGGTCCACAGAAAGGAAGGCGGGCAGTCATGATTGCATGCATCAAGGCATGGAA